ACTCGAATAGTTTTTATGAGAAATACAGAAGGTCTTTGCAATGCAACAACCGGTATATATATATATATATATATATATATATATATTAGCAGACCCGGTAAACGCTGTTTAGCTATATGAAATATTTCTTAGAAAAAAATTATAATAACAAATAACTAACAGATTGTGTACGTAATTGCATACATATGCATATAGAATATAAGTAAAGGGACAGCTATTACAAATTAATGAATGGTTTACACACTGCAAAGCATGCAATATATTATTACCGCGCTTTTTATTAATTCATTAATTTATTATTTATGATACAAAATCAGTGAAATGAGTAAATTTCACTAAATTTACATTTTACTTAAAAAAAAATTGAACTTAAGCTTTCATTGACTGCATGCGGGATGAAAAATTATTCAATTACTAAAATTATTTTTACAAAATAGATATTTGTGGTTATAGGGTGAAAATTTTCGGCTGTATGTGTTTTTTAATTAAGAATTATGAAAAAATTAAATTAAAAAAAAATGGTACAAAAACTAACAATAAAATCTTAAGGGTCACCAACCCTTACCACTTAGGGCTATGAAGAATAGATTTTGGCCAATTCTCACGATCAGTCAAACTGATTGCGATTATAAAATTTCATAAAAATCGGAAAAAAAATAAATTAGGTTTGAAATTTTTTAATAAATCTTGTAGACGTTTCGAATTCTTACTTGATTCATTTTCAGTGCATCAATTCAAAATTAATTTAAAAAACACAATGATAACAAACAATGAGTGAATGATGTGTAGAACAGCAATATTTATTAAATTAAATTTTTGATGTTTAATTAAATTTACATTTATTTTGTGAAATAAAAGTATATGTATATGTATATATATATATATATATATATATATATATTATATAATATCATGATATTGCAGTAAGACTTTTTATAATGAGTGTACGAATATTAATAATGTAAATTTGATCGCGCTACTCTCTATTTTTGCATTATATACATTTTATTATAAAATACTAAATAACAATCGTTTTGAGACCGTGTTTTCAGTGTAAAAATTAAATAGCCAAAAATAATTTCTGCAAATCAAGTTTCGAGGGTGGTGACTGGAGAACCAAAAAAAAACACCCCTAAAGTGAATATTTAAGCTGATATTAGATTAATTAATAAATGTTATTGACTATTAATACATTTTATTAAATAATAACAAATTATTAGTAGAAATACATAGTGCGTGCGATTTTAAATCATTAAATTTACATAGGTGGTACCTATGGTAACACCTATATTTATATTTATATAGGTGGTACTCTAGTTTGATGCTTACTATGAACTTCACACCGCGCGATTAACGTGCATCTGTCAAATTTGTTAAATCTGACAAATGGCATACGTCATTAAATAAAAATAATAATATTATTAAATGATTTTTAAAAATGGTTTTAGATATTAATCAATGTTGTTCTACTTGGTGGAACGAAGTCTTAAAAAAAGTTAAAAAGGCAGTTGTGTTCATTGATAATGCAGCTGCCGAAAGTTTTCATTGGAATGCAAATTTAATAGATTTTTACACAGCAGGAGCAGAAAGTGTTAAAGCATTTTCTCCTTTCGAAGTAAATCTTATATTTGTAACACTTTATGAGTATTTTTCTCTATAAGATTTAAGGAATTACTATATCAATTGGGATATCTTTATGGAAATTAATTTAAAAAAATCTTGGTTTAGAAAAATATGTTGATAGTTGATAATATTAATCGTTTTAATACTACCTCAATATACAACTCTTAATATTACCTTAATAATATATATTAGAGAATTGTTTTTAAATGAATTAATATTAGAGGGTCGAATTCATTTAAATTTCAAGGGAAAGCAGATTTATTCAAACTCGTCCTCCAACAATTTTTTACATGTTTGTTGTAAAAGATAACTATATATTTTATTTTATTTATCCCAATTTTGTAATATGCTATTACTAAATATATATTATTTAATAATATTTTTTTATTTTGTTTCTCTAAACAAGTTGCATATTTTATTAAACATCCAATTCAATGATGGCCTAATTTGTAACTGGCAATAATTTAGAACTAGACCTTATATACGAAATATTAATATGTAAATTAATATAATAAAATATTTTTAGAGTGCCACAAAAAAATTTAAGAAAGCAGTTTTTATAACAAGTGCATATGGTAGCAATATTGAAGTTCTTAAAATTATTATTGAAAGCAGTAAATTTGAATACTGTGTTTTAATAACTACTGCTCATCCATTTGTTTTGTCTCGAGAAAGATACAGTAATGAAACAGCAGATAATGAAATGCAAGCTTTCAATTTGCTGGAAAATGAAATGCTGAAATGGATGGGAAATATGGTATTTATTCAAAATTACACTATTAGATGTGAATATTATTAATATTTAACAATATGTTCATTGTTAAATTTGCAGGATTATACAGCGGAAATATTCTATTTTCCTTTATTTATTGCTCCTTTAACTAAAAATTTCTTTATCACACCAGAATTTGATCATATGTTTCCACCATTGCAAAATCTTTCTGATGTACAGCAAAATAAAGATATTCAAACATCAATCAGACATCTTACAGCTTTATTGCACAGTCTTTTCGGAATAATGGGTTTAAAGGAAGATATTTTTTCTTTAGGTGATTTTAGTGCTATTGTAGCTTCAATGTTGGAAAACTTTCCACCAGCAGCAAGTAGGAGAAAGGTATGTTATATTATGTTGTATAAATATATACATTATTTTATATACATAATTATTTTTTTCTATTTATCCTCTGTTAATGACAATAATCACCCGGAATTCATTTGTCGGTTTATGTTATAATTTACAATTTTGAATTTTTTATTATGTATATCATTCTAATATTTTAAAATTTTAAGCCATAAATATAACAAGAACACCATAATGAAATCCATTTTTTTCAGAATGCATCAAACTCAGCTACTTTAATTTTTATTGATCGCACCCTGGATTTGAGTTCAGCATTGTCGCATAATAGTGAATCAATATTAGATTGTATAAAGTTAATTTTACCGAAATTTCCTGGGCATAACTTAGACGTTGCAGTTGATATGTCATCAATATGCAAAGCAAATGTGTAAGATTGTTTCATTGTGATATAAAAATTCAAAAAAAATTGTAAATATATTTGTAGAGACAATAATATATCTGATGATATTCAATTGGCACCAGGATGTCTTGCTCAACCTACTGAACAAGTTAGTAGAAATATGATGGAATTATTAATAACTAGCAATCAAAAAAAAGTTTTAAGTCAAGTTTATCAAAATTTATCAGACATTAAATGTGCAACAGCTGTTAAAAGTCCCCCAAGAATAACATTGCACACAATAGAAAAAGCTATGAATTCTCTTGGAGGTAATATTTAGATACGTTGACAAAATTTCTTCATTATTTATTTGTTTCTACTATTTTTTCAATGTTTAGATGATTGTTATTTAAATACTACGGCATCTGCTACTTTGCAACAAACTTTGGCTATAATTAAAACTATTAAATCACCACTAATGCCAATAATTCAATTGAAACTGAGCTTGGAGCAAATTATTCTTCAAAATTTGGCTGCAAGTAAAAATTCTACTAGTATATTATTGCAGGTATGAAAAAATATTTATTAAGGGATTAAAATATATACTAAAAATATGTCTCTTTTTTCGAGAACAGCTGTGCCAAATTATCAAAAGTCGTGATAGCAGAGGCTTAACTCTAGAAGATATTTTTTGTTTACTACTTTATGTTTACTGCTTAGCTGGTTCTGACATATCATTTTCTGAAACACAAGAAAATGAATTATCAGAATGCCTGACCTCAGCATTGAGTGACTGGTCAGGTATGATTTTTTGTAAATCATTGTTTTTCTTTCAAATCAATTTGAATTAAGCATCTCATAAATATATATATATATACATATATATATATATATATATATATATATATACATTTATAATCTATCATGTATGATTATCATTAGAGGAGTTAACAGTGGACAAGGAAACATTTGCTGAATTTATTATATCAAAACTCAAAATAGCTGCTAAAGCTAGAGAAAGTTTAACAAAGTACAAATCAGTGGTACACTCTGCAAATAAAAGTCAACCAGCTGAATTCAAAAGCATTTTGGAACAACTTATGGAAGACTTATTAAATCCTTCCAAACCAGAAATGATTGATTTAGCTTCAAAGTCCATTGGAATAACAGATCTTTTAAAGAGCAGTTTGAGGTAAAGTAGTGGCAGTTCCAAAATCATTCATTTATTTTTTAATATGTTTTTTCTTTTAGCTTGCTTATTAATAAACCCAAGAAAAATATTCATCCTGCTGATAACGATTATATAATAATTTTTGTTGTGGGTGGAATAAAAGCTCATGAAGTAAATTTGTTACAAAAAATGATGAATAAGGAACAGAATAAGAAATTATTGATTGGTTGTACAAAGCTTATAACTCCAATAGATGTGATAAATACTGTGTTAGAATTGAAGGAAAGAAAATCTTAATAATGAATTATTTATCATTTTGTATATTATAAAATGATGATTGTAAATATATTTAATATATATTTTTGTTAATTTTAATTGTATTTTCTATTTATATTATTTTAGATAATCAAATTTTGTGAGAAAAATATTTTTATAGTATAGAAATATATGTATAATAACACAAATATCACACAAAAAATATGATTTTATTTTAATAGCTGGTCAATACTTTCTTGATTATTACATGGCCCAAATACAAATATAGGTTTAGTAGCATATTATCATATATTTATTCAAAGTATTTTTTTATGGTTTGCAATATATTTATTTAAATCGCGCGTGATGGATAGGGTTGGCAACCCTGAATTATTATACATGACGCATGTGATCAACTGACCAACTGCATAACTGCATTTTCAAAATCTGATATAGAAAATCATATAATAACTAAAAATTGCAATTAAACAAAATCAACCGTAACGTCACAAATTTAATAAAAATTACAAAAATAATACTTAAATTAACGTAAAATTAATTTCACATGGATTGTTAAGCGGTTTGGTATGGGGTTGGTATTCGCTGCTTGTGTCATGTGCAAAATGTCATGTGCTTATGTCATATGAGTTATTAAACGAAAAATTCTCGTGTTATGGCTGATGGTTCATTAAATGAAGTAAATATGGGAGAAAAAGCTATCGACCCACAAGAGAATCAAGATCATCAAAATGAGGATGATCTTGATAGTGAAGAAGTAGTTGAGGACACTGTCAGCGTTGAGGGTTAGTGCGAAATATTTTTTAAAAAAGAAGAACATTCATTTCTCAATTTAGCTACAGGTCCTTTATTTTCTTTAATTTGTTGTTAATCAATTAGGATTATTATGTAATAGATCTCCTGATTCATTTATGAAGTCAGAACTCTTCGAAATCTTTCATTCCCAGTACCATGAATGTATTTTAAATTTATATACAGAGAATTTTGTTGTGATATTTCAATTTCATTACTGATACTATTTCAGAATTTTTCTTATTTTTCAGAATACAATGCCATAGACAGCAAATTAGATGAATTAAATTCTGCTCTCGATTTCATTGAAGCACAAAATGATAATATTTATTCTCAGCTTTTGTCATTACTGCAATCTAACAGAGAAATACGAGAAGAATTAGCTGAACAAAATTCTTCAGGTGATGAGGTTCAAAATTAAAAGGCTTGAAAGAAATAAATGTCATGAGTATTAAGAATAATATCCAAAAATATACCCATATATTCCTTCTATGTCAGAAAATAGGATGTAAATAATAATTTTTCAGGTATGTAATAAATATTTACATACATTTACATTTATATTATTTTCTTGGTAACTGTTTTTTCTCTTATTTCTGCCTAGAGCTCATATTAATAACAAATTGAGATAAATGGCTAAATTTATACAATTTTTTGTTTAGAAATACTGAAAATTTCCAGAACTGATATAGCATTCCTTAAAATGATTTAGCAATTTATGTGATTATATTTTTATTAACATTTAATTATTTATTAGTTACAAATATTAGTTTATTTGTAAATGTAGTTAATATATCGAGTTTCTCATTGGAATGAACTGTATCTGTATATATTTTTAAATCATAAATATTTATAATTGCACTTGATACTTTTTTATTTAAATTTCAAATCCTGTAACCATACTTTTGTTAAATTTTAAAATTTACAAAAATTAATTTAAAAATATACAATTGATTTTATTCACATATTTGTGCCACATTTCTTTTGGCGCATACCTTGTGGATTTTCAGTAACCTGAATTTTCATGGCCTGCTGCAAATAATAGCATTTTCTTGAACATTTCCAAGTCAATGTCAGTAACAAATATTACATTTGGTAAATTTGCAAATATTTTTCTATGATCCAGAACCATTTGCCCTCGTGCATATAATCCTTGAAGTTCAACAGTGGCATGAACTTCATATGAATTTTTGACCAAATCAGGGTACAGAAAGCATGCTACGCAAATAGCATCACACACATAGTAAAAATCAGTCTTGTATTTTCCATAAATGCTTTTCTCAATTGGATTCATTAAATTCATTTGCGCATTGTTAATTTGTCCCATGACATCAAATCTCCATTTCTGTTAATTAAGAGAAATGTGTTTAAGGCTACATTTACTTAATTTAATGTATTATGTTAACACAGAACTTCATCTCAATGGAGAAGAAAATCCCCTTGGAAATTGCATTTGATTTTAGAAAAAATTGGAAGAAATGTATTATATTTCATTATAAAATTGTTTTTTTTTGAATATCAGCATTTGTGCCGAACTTTTACTGAACATCAATAAATGATTTTTACTTTTATAATTTTTTTTTTATTTATTTCAATTTTATATTTTTTGAACTCAAAAGAGGAAGGAAATTAATCGATTTACTCACCAAAGGAAGATTAATACTTGTACATGTTTCCCAAGGTACAATATGTAATGGCTTCTTTGCATTATGCAACACTAAAAATGCTGCCTCAGGATCACAGACAAAATTAAACTCTGCTGCTCTTGTTTTATTACCCACGCCTAAAAGAAAAAAAAATAATTTGCAATTTGAATATATGAAGCAGATATAGTTAATTGAAGAGAATATTTAATAGTTTTAGCATTAAAAGCTAAATATGTCTTTTTAAATTAGGTAATTTAAAACATGCATTAGAGGTGCTATAGCATATTTAGTTCAATTATGCCACAAAAAAGTTAAATACAAATAAAACTTTCTGAAATAAGTATAACTAGCATATTTTCATAATAATGTATCTACCTTTATAGTTGCCACCCATTATATACACATCCTTAGTTTTGTCTAGAAAACCCGGATACATTTTAATTGCAAGTGCTGCATTTGTCAGAGGCCCAACAAATATAAAAGTAATTTCATTTTCATACTGTTTAGCTGCAGAAATAAGGTAATTTACTGCATGTTCTGGTTTAATTAAACTCAAATCAGGATCATTTCCATAGTGATCCAAATCACCAAATCCATCACCACCATGGAACTCAGATTCTGTGGAATTTGGAATATCTAGAGGAATCAGACCTTCCGATGCACCTTTGTAAATGGGGATCTAAATATAAATACAAAAAATAAATGCAAAATATCAATGATAACTTAATTGCTGCGCATATTTTTAATCAAAGTTTATTGTGAGTTATATATTGGCTAAGAGGTGAATTATATTAATGACTTGGGAAAAGGGGTTTTAACATGGAAAATTGTGGCAAGGTATATTTATATATAAACATACATAGATATGATATGTATATGACTATATAATATATGCATATAGTAATATGTAATTATAGATAAAAGTATATATATTGCATATAATATTGGAACAGTAATCTTTTTCATGTTAGGGGCCGTTCAAGTATTACGTAAGCACTATAGGGGGGCGGGGGGGTTATTGATTTGCTTATTTTGCTTATTTTTGGTAAGAAATTTGCTTACTTTTGATGACAAAGGGGAGGGGGGGGGTAAATAATTGTACTAAATCTGCTTACGTAATACTTGAACGATCCCTTATGAACAGTGTCCATATGAATAGCGTGTTATGCATGAGAATAATGAAGCAAATTTGAACTACAATTTATTATTGAGTTCGATATGATATATAAAACTCACATCTAAAGCCTTTACTGCACCCAGAACACGTAAAACATTTATCGCAACATTATCCACATTTGTATTACCCGCCACACAAGTGATACCCATTAGTTCCACATCACCCCGTTTGTGCGCTGCTATCAGCATGAGCAAAGCTATGGCATCGTCCGAACCGGCATCTACGTCGATTATAACTCGTCGTTTTCCAGCCATCTCTAAAAATAAACCGCGTCAAGTAAATTAATGATAAATATTAAACGTTTTGTTAATTTTGTGATTATACAGGATTGAGTGTTACTAGAATATCATGAAAAAAGTATTTGGAAATTTTCTTACCTTTATTTGTTCAGATGATATTCTAACAGATGATGTCTCTGAAATAATTTTGAATACTGACCTTCGACACAAACAAGAACTACGGTTATGTTTACTTAGGATTCTTTTTTCAATTTACTAACACAGACTAGAATGTTATCGCAACATGAGATGCTTCATAGACGACTATATCCTATAAAGATATCTACATGACATGTCTTGTCAGATTTTTTGAATGCAGATAAAAGATAAGTAAGTCAAGTCATGTGTTTTATTATAATTTATTTTATTCACTATAATCTTTATATTTTTTTCTTTCTCTAAATTATTTTGTACTTTATCAATTATATGTACTTTATATTATTATTTTATGTTGCCATTTGCACCGTCGGCAGAAATATATGAGATGCTGTAAATCAGCGGTTTCCAACCTGTGGGGTGCGCCCACTAAGGGGGGCGCGTACATCTGTTTACAGAATACTATTATCGAAAATAACCGACATTTTTGAAATGTTATTAAAAAATTAACAATAAATAATTAGCTTTTAACTTCCCGTAGGGCAAGTTATAGTAATCGCAAAAAAATCGAAAATGAAAATTTTTATATATCTTTACGTTTCAAAGGTTTCTGAACATTTTGGCATACCTAGAAAAAAATGGGTGTATGTGTGTGTGCGCGGATATAAATTTTCTTCGACTATCTCGGGAACACCGATCAACCGATTTAAATAATTCATAAAACATTCGATTCATATTGATAAGGAGACATGTTGATTAGTTTTTGACGAAGTCAGGTCTAGCCGTTCCTAAGATACGGGGCAAAAACGGTAACTCAGTTTTTAAGAGAACGGAGCGTCCGACTTTAATAATTCAAAAAACGTTTTACTTGTATTGGCAAGATGAAGAATTGATCAAATTTTCATTAAGGCAGGTCTAGCGGTTTCGGAGATATAATGAAAAAAGTAAAAAAAAAAATGCCATTTGGCGGTCAAAAATGATCATTAGACATATGCACATCAAATTATCAGATATTTTATAGAGATTTTAACAATAAGTATGAATTTTGTTTGCATTCCTATGGGTTCCGTACCAATGATATTCGTTAGACGGCGACGCGGCGCTTAGGCGCTTTGACATTTTGTCTTTATGCGATTGAGGTAATACGATTGCTTTGAAAAAAAGTTCAGAATTTCCAAAATATGTCAAAACAAAGAAAACTTTTTTTTTCAAAAAAAAATTTTTTTTTCAAAAAAAGTAATTGATTTTTTTCACAAAAATCTAATTTTTTCGAAGTCAATTTTTTTTAAAAATGTTAATCGTTTTTAAAAAAATAATATTTGGTACGGGAAGTTCCAGCAATTTGCTTTAAGGCTGGATGACATGCGCCCCACTAGTTATGCATATTTTTACACAATAATTTGTAGTCTGATAATATCAGTATAGATCAGTAATATCAGTATAGAGTAGTCATAAAATAAAACTGTTGAAAAAATTAAGGGGAGCGCAACAGTTTTTTTAATAGAGCAGGGGGGCGCGGTGCAAAAGATTGGAAACCACTGCTATAAATGTTTTAAAATTATCTTAAGCAATAGATCTTTGAGTCGCCATAGTGATTATATTATTAACGGTATTTTTGCATTTTATTTTGATTGATTTTTTTTAATTTCGAAATTGCATCAATTGATCTTCAGAGACGCTCTAATCGCGGATATATTTACGAAGATTTTCTTTAAATTCTCAAAAAGTGTAGTTTTTGTTCAAGTTGAAGCATTGCCCAAGGTAGAATTTATTACAGAAAATAAATTCTTAATTATAAGACCATACATTTCTTACGATAAAAACAGCGCAATTAGCAATTAAGATTAAACGATTCATTCGCAAATTCCACAGTTAATTATTGGCGATAAGAATATGATCAGTTCTATAGAAAATTATTTTGAATTTTGTCTAAGAAATTCAAAATCAATTTTTGTCACTGTTTGTTTCTAATTTTTATTTTATGGTTTTTATAATGAAAAAAGTTTGAACAGACCTTAGAAATAAAATATAGATTTTTACAGATTTTTTTGTGATCCACAATTTGCGCAAAAAAATTCACCAGCACTTAAAACTTAAGAATCAGCTGATGGACTTGTACACAATTTTATCAATTTAAGTTCAACGTGAAAAATTAGTTGCAGCCGGAATTTACAACCAAATTGGTTGTTTTTCCTCTCGCCTGAATCTGCATTTTAGCAGATTTTGGTAGTAGCTCGGCAATTCGTTGAATTATGGAATCAACATTGATTTCTTAGTATCCTGGATTTTTATGTCCAGCAGCAAACATAAGCATCTTCTTAAAGATGTCAGTGTGTAAAGCTGTAACAATTCTAACATTTGGTTTGCAAGAATCCTTCATGGATCGTGTGTGATCTAAGACCATTTGACCACGTGTTAATTTTCCATTTAATTCAATTCCTATGTGGATATCAACGAATTTTTTGATAACTTTCGGATTTAAGAAGCAGGCCACACAAGATGGGTCGCAAGCCTCGTAGGCTACGTGCGGGTGCATATTGAAAATACTTTGTTCTACCTTGTTCATCATCTTCATGTAAGGGTTGTTAACTTTTCCCATGGTTTCCATACGCCATTTCTGAAAAGTGGATATTTATATGAATTCATGGTATTTCCACTAGGGAATGCAATACCGATAGAAAATTTCAATACCGGTATTTCGGTAATTGAATCTTACACAAACGTAAACAAAATTGAAAGTTACTAGTACAAATATAAAAAAATGTATATACAACTACAACTATATTCAACTAAACAATAAAATAAAACAATAAGTTTATTTTTTTAACTAATAATTTAACAAAATTATATCCAATTTAATTAATTCATTATCACTATATTGAGTACTTTTCACCAAAAACGAACTTATAGCCGAAAAATCGGGCGGTTTACCGGTAATTCGGTATACCGGTATTGCATTCCCTAATTTTTACATATTCTTTGAAATGAGAGTGTCTTTTACAATTACAGTAACAATCGTTACGTGCTCTCAAATATATTTATGATTTTGTCTGAAAATGAGTCTACCCAATAATTTTTCCTATGAATATTTTCTATAGCATTTTATAGACGTAAAGCAATTCCTGCAGCGTTAGAATTATTCAACGAAAATTCTGCGGCAAACAAAAAAATGATACAATTGATATTCAAAAATTATAGATCTTACGTTCATTTTGATGTAGAACATTATCAGATTGATAAGTTTGAGAATTTGCTTGCACTTACCGCTGTTAATTTGGAATTGAAGCAAGTTTCCCATGGTAAAACAACAACTTGATTTAGAACGTTATTGAATAGAATATGGGCAGCTTCAGGATCCATTCCAAAATTGAACTCAGCGGCATTGCTCATGTTACCAACACCTGCAAAATACATGTTCATAACAACTTGCTGGATTATTTTTAAATTTAAATTTAGAACGAGAATTGCATAAATTGCATAAAAATCGATCACCATACAAAACTTAACTATAATCAATAATTTATTTTTTGAATTTTAGGTTCATGTGAATAAGTAATTATTTTATAGTCGGTTAAAATTTATACAAAATATATTTTCTTCTATATATTTCTTCCACTTACCCATCCAATTACCACCCATGACATAGAAATGTTTGACCATCTTCACGAATTTCGGGTACATTTTAATGCAACATGCGGCGTTTGTCAGGGGACCTACGAAGATCATTGTAATGTCTCCAGCATATTTGCAAGCCAATTTGTTTAGGGCTACAACGGCATGTTCTTCTTGCAATCGACACATATTTGGCTCCTTCTTATGTTTGACGTCTCCAAATCCGTCTTTGCCGTGCCAACCTACCTCTTCGGGGTTGGAGATTTTTGATGGAATCAGGGCGTCTCTGCATCCTTTGTAGACTGGGATCTAACAAAATAATTAAGTTATTTTTTTAATTAATAATGTAAAATTTAAAATAAGCTATTAATGCAAATACTGTATTATTAATTCATTAATAAACTTGCAAGCAAGTTACATGAACTTCCCGATATGTGTAAATAATTGACTTAATCAATAATAAACAAATTAATTTATGAGTGACTAGAAGTATTCCGAATGGATTTATTACACATAATTGAAAACGAACGAACACGTGAACTCAGAGGATTTTCTAAAAGCAAATTTTCACAAATCAATAATTTTTTTTATAATTGAACCAGTTTTCGTAGGACGTTAATGGTTTAGTATGTTCATTAAGACCAAGTAATCTATCGTTATACCAAGTAAATCATCTAATTTTAATTTTAACAAACGTCAAGAAAACTACTCATTTTCTCAAACTTTGATGAATTTTTAAAATTAAACTACTTGTCGTAAGGCCGTAATATTTCAGTAAGTTTTATAAGACCATGATATATATCGCCAAAAAAGTTCCATAAAAATCGGCTTAAATTTTTTTTTCAACAGTTAATTACAAGAAAACAGCTAGGTAGATTTTCACCTAAAACACATATTTGGCTCAAAAAACGCTAATATACTAATACTAATCAGTATTATTCCCCGATTCGGTAGAATGAGCTTAAAAGTGGACGAAAACACTCTTTTTCAAATTACAAAGAAACGGCTCGGCAGATCGTCTCACAAAACTGACAAACTATAGTGCTCATTGAGATACATCGAATAGCTTTTAAATTTCTGAAATCGATTCAGGCGTTTTTGAGCAAACGTCGATGAAAGTTCTAATTTTGACAAATGCCAAAAAAACGATACCAATTTTTGCAAACTTTGACGAATTTTTAAAGCTAAACGAGTTGTCGTAGGGCGGTAATATTTTAGTATGATCTAGAAGACTATGGTATCTACCTTTAAAAAAGTCATAAAAATCGTCGAATTTTTTTTTAACTTTATTTAAAGAAAACGGTCCGGCTGATCTGTACCAAAAAATAATCAGCACGATTCCTAACCTATATCTTTCTAACGGTTTTTGAATTTTCAAAATCGATTCAGAATTGCGGGCTAAAACGTAGACGAATTTTTTTTTACTTTTCTGCGATTTGTAAAGAAACGGCTTGGCCGATCGTCGCACAAAACTGACAAACAATAGTCCTCATCGAAATACATCGAATGGCTTTTAAATTTTTGAAATCGGTCCAGCCGTTCTTGAGAAAACGTCGATTTACGGCAAAAAATCTGTTCACACACATACTTTTTCCAAATTTGG